AAGCCCGCCTATATAAATGGGAGGTGCCAACGGCAAAGTTTAATGGCACGTTTCTCCGAGGCAATGTAGACACGCACCGTTACGATACTCAGGCAGTCCAGTCATGTGCTCCTTCCCTTCGAACTTCCAGCCAAGTATCTTCTCCAATGGCTCGACGAGGCTGTACGTCGTCCACCCAGTGAGTTTATGGAAAGGAACGAGGGCCTCCCAATCCTCTGCGACAGTGGTCTTGAGCGCCTCGCATGGCCAAACATCACCTAAGGCTACACCGCCGAGGGACGTCCGATCGGTGGGCCAGATGGGGGCCAGACCGGAGATCAAAACGTGCCAGAGCGCAGCTATAGGAACGAGGCGGACATCACCCTCCAGCTTCGACTGACCCTCCAGGAAGTCTGGCCGCCAAAAGTCAACATGCTCCAGCGCGACTCAAACGCGGCAAATCAACGAACCTATCATATTCCCAGGCCTGCCTTCAGTACCGAAGAACTCGGGACTTTGTTTCAACGCTCTACTGAGATTGACGAGCAAGGACGCTCGACCGTCAAGGCCCACCATGGGATTACTGGCGGAGACTTGCATCAATTCGCCCGTCCTTGTCGAAGTTATCTTTGCAAGGCCCTCCGCTGTGTGAAAGAGTCAGCTACAATGAAGAGAAGTCGCGACAATGCTCACCGTCGACTCTGCATGGCTGTTGGGAGTCCCCCGAGAAAAACCCTTGTACGAACATGTTGAAGCTGGCCACGCCAAGACCTTCGGAGCGAGAGAACGTCTGCTTTGAGGGTTCATCCTTGTAGGTCCAGTCTCCCCCTGCACCGGCATCAAGAAGCACAGACACGAGGAATAGGTCCAGAAGCCGTTTCGTCTTTTCTTTCACGTCCGGCGGTGAAGGCAACGTGTCCCACTGCTTGAGAAGAGGCTCAATCCTCGGCATCCCCGCGTCGAGATGGCGCCAGCGTCCGTGGGGCGGGATCTATTGACGAGATAGAGGCCATTCCAGTTGAATGAGCGAAGAGTCCCGACGTGCTTCCTGTATGTGATGACATGACATACCAAGGGGACATCTTCAAAGTCGCGCTATAGCACCATTCGCAAGCCGCCTTATAGTAATTCATTCGGATATCATACATACCTTCATAATCTTGAGACAGTAATCCGCCGCGTCGGTCTCTTTATCGGGATGATACTCGAAGTATTCGAGCTTTCCTTGCTTGGCCAGATCGTGAACGCGCCCACATCGTTCTCTGATAGCAGGAAGCGTTCGTAGGTACTCGATCTTCGCCTCAGTAGAGAAGTCAGCGCTTAGATTCATGATGCACGCCGGGGATGATGATGGTCGGGAGTGAGATAACGCCCGTGTAGAATCGGATGCCTATCAATTGCCGCTTGTCCGGACACGCGCGTGTGGCGTGGCTTTCCTTTCGCTCCCGCTGTCGTGTAGACGCCGGGCGCTGTATGTTCTGAAAAGACCACGGCCCTCTTGAGCTGTGCTCAAGACTGTGTGATCTAGATCTAGGGGCCAGGCGCCCTAGGTACCGAACCTAAACGCTAAAGCCTATGCAACTCCCATAGTAGCGCAGGATTGGCGACCGCTCAATCTCGGGAGCTCATCGTCTAAGCCCGATACGGATCAAGACACAGGCTCGCCTATTGCCACTTGATGAACTCGGTCGTATATGCTCGGTTGCACACTTGCTACGACAAGGCTCAGGCACACGTGGAGCTCGTATGGCACGCGACAAGGATATACAACAACTGAATAATAAGTTATGCCCATCACTGTACTACAGACAAGTGTCCTGAGGAGTTGGATATGACAAGCTCAAGGAGAAGACGCGCAGGTGACAGCTCAAATTTAGTGCCGACCAGCGCACATCTCGCATTGCTGTGCGCTCGTGCTCACAACGACCGTCTGGGCCGGGGCCCGCCTGAGCTATGGTTGAGTTGGAGTTGGGATCCAGATGGATCGGGGCGTACCATTGAGAGCAGATCCGAATGCAGTCATGCGTAGATGGATCGGGATGGTTTGCACTGTAACGACAGTCTCGGGCTCTACAGTCAACCTTCGTTGATGAGCATACGTAAGAGAGTGAACTTGAAGCTCAAAGGGTAAGCATTCGCTTGACATACATCGGTAGAGGTGATGGGGACTTCGTGACCACAAGTGTATCGGATAGCATCGACTTGACGGTAGCACATGTGGGTTGAGATAGAGTGAGGAGCGGTGTTGAGGGTGTCGAGGGGTAGACTATGAGGCATCCTTTGCTGCTGCTTAAATACGTTCAGCGGCGTGCTCTGCTCAGTGTGACCTTGACACTGGTCAAGCCTCCATCCCAGGCCGTAAGGAAAGCGGGCCGACTGTTTGGGAAGTTCCGCGTCTTCGGCAAGAAAGAGAAAACATCGGGATCTGCACGCATGCCCTATCGATCGAGCAAGTTTCTGTGAGATGAAGGATGGTGCACTCGCACATACATGCAGTGTACCCCAAACAGGCCCGCAAGCGCATTGCGCGATGCAACGCCGCTCGTGTGTTGGGGTCAAACTTGGATGTGGGGAAATAGACTCCATAGGCACGCGATGCCTCGTCGACAGGTGCGGAGAATGGCGCGTTCCGCGTACCGGTTGCCTTACCTAGTGATTGCACTCGCTAAGAATCACCAGGCGCGCAGCGAACACGAGGTAGCGGGTTGTGAACTTCGCAAATGTGATAAAGATCAGCAAGGCACAGGCGCGAAGCTGTCGCGCGATGCGCACAGAGGAAGGACCCATGACTGTCCCAGCGGCATCAGCGGGACTTCACGAGGCACTGCCACAACGTGTAAGTGCGACGTGACATGGGCATAGTCCAGATGAGTTAGAAAACTGTTCGCCGACCTTCGATCATGTGGGCAAGCTGAAAAGCGGATGATAACCGAGCACTTACTCTTCGACGATCGGGACAAGTCATGGATTGTAGCGTCGGTGGGCTGAACCATCTGTATTGTCTGGGTATTGCTTTCATTCGGTGCAAAACAACGGAAAAGTGGCGTGTCAGGCAAGTCTCCGAGAAAGATTGCCGCGCAGACGGCGATTAGATTATCTTCTTGCTTGTCCGAAGCAATGCGAGAGAGTTCAGAATGATGTCAGAAAGCAACGTGACCGATGTAGTCCGGTACGCTGGCGACCACGACAAGATGGCGGAGAATTTCTCGCCGGCTTTCGAGACCTTCCGTAAAGGCCACTTAAGTGTGAGTCTTGCTGCAGCCAAGTCAGTGATCGAGACGGCAGTGAACGATCGTATACAGACGTGGAGTTTTGTCAGCTGAGCCAGCCACCAGTGCACCGACTTCATCATAGATGGTAAGATCGCCCAAATTACCTCATACATAAGCATTAGAGGTCGGACGAGCTGAAATGTCTTGAAACCGCCGGGTGACGGCACGAGCGGACGGAGCATGGAGCTACGGTAATCAGTGGCCATATCTTGAAGACTCTGCAGGTACAGTCTCTCTAAGGAATCACAGCGCTCCCGGATTCATGCCAATATCGATGCTCCCACCAGTTTCCCTTAACACGCACGGCCTGCGTGTATCGCCCGCCCGCGTTCGGCGTCGTATTGTGCTGGAGCGTCCAAACCTCGCGTACACCTGCCCCAAGAAGGTACTCCCGCATCCTGGCATAGTTTAGGCCCACCGCTTGCGGGCCGTGGCTGTCATCCGACAACGCCAGGCGCCCTCCGTGCTCCTGAATAAGCTTGGTACAAAAGCAACAGAGTTAACAATGACAAAGCACTGCCGTGAGCCTACGTACCTCGAGGACACCGTGTCCGGGATATGACGCCGTCCACCCTTTCCGCAAGGCGGCCGCATTTGCCTCAAAGAGAGCCCCGTACCCTACTGCATAGATCACGTTCCGCGTCAACTTCTCCCAAGCGCGTTCAAACCGGCGCAAATCAAGTGTGGGCGTGTACAGTCTGCACAAGTCGACATGTCCGACAACTTCGGGATGAAACCGTTTAAGCACTTCGAACTGCGCGTCGAAGTATAGCTCAAGATATCTTCCGAGGTTGGCCTGTTCGAGTCCTGGAGCGTCGCCAGTAACGGAGTCGATACTAGAGATGCAGGTCTCGTAGGTCTGCTTGTCGAAGTCTATGGGGAGGCCGTTCACATGGTGAACTGAGCCTACGACCATATCGATCTGGTCTCCATAGCGAGATAAAACTTCTGATAGACCGTCGAGGTCCTTGACCGTGATGTGTTCCGTCTCAAGTCCGACTAGTATTCGGATGTTGGAGGCGTACGCCTTCTTCAGGCGCTGAGCCTCTCCGATGAAAGCGCCAAATTGTTCGGCGAGTTCCTGTAGACTTGTCCCTTCCTAGACATGGGCACATGATCATTTGTCCACATGCATACGGAGGCAAGCCTGCGCACTTCCTCGGGATATAAATCCTCGCTTCTGTACCGGGGTACGTGCTCAGTTAGACAGTAGGTCTCGAATCCTTGGCGCAACGCCTCCTGGACTACCTCCTCGAGAGTGCCAACGGCGTGTTTACAGAATTGACCGGAATGCGAGTGGTGGCTGTACGGCATCTAGGCTAGACGGTTTGTCTGAGAGAGTACGGCTTATAGAGAGACCACCGCAGGAAAAGGCACTGCAAGTGTGGTGGACGTTAAGGTGTAACCTTAAGTTGAGAGGCGAGGACGAATCACGGCTTTTTCTCGGTAACTTCCGAGCCAGCGCACGGGCACCGGATCCCACACCGCTAGGATATAATTGGCTTCAATGGTAAGTCGAACATGTAGATACTGGCTATAGTATGTGTGTGCAGGAAGAAGTGGAGGCGATAACGCAAGCTGGGTACGAGTATTCAAGTTACGGCTGAAAGCCCGAGCGTCAGGATCGATGTGAGCGAGATCGGGAAGCAGACACGCACTATACTTCGGACCACCCCCACCCTCGGGAACCGTCCATGTAATATCCTCAGTGGGAGTCTTCACGTCGCACAGTTTGCAGTGAATACAGTTCTGCGCATTGATCACCAACTTCTTGCCGGCCCAGCCCTCACCAGCTGCCTGAGCGGAGCCGTCCTCGTCCTCGACGTACTCGTATACGCCCGCGGGGCAGGCGCGGCCAAGAAGTCCGGCATATTCTTCCACGTTGCGTTGCACATGCTCTTGCCTTCGCCTCGAAGACTCGACACCTTCGTCGGCCGTACGTACGCGCAGATGAGCAGGTTGATCTTCTGCGTGGTTCGTACCGGTGAGGGCCAACGCTGTCATGAGATCCGTGCTGAGAGGCGGTTGTGGCGCGGGGTAATCGATGGGTGTGCACTCAGACGCGCGTTTCGTGTGCCGTGCGTCTGAGGTCTGAGGGTTGCGGAAGGTCCATGGTACACGTCCGCGCAACAGTGAGTCAACACCCGAATATAGCACACCGCCGAGGACACCGAGCCCAGTGTTAAAGGATGGTCGAAGGTTGCGAACTTCGTGTAGGTCCTTGTATACCCAGCTGTCACGGTAAGCGGCGTCATACGCGCTCATGTCGGCCGGTTGCTCCTGGCCCTTTTCCGACTCTCCTGTCGCGACGTCATACGCAGTTTCGGCGGCAAGCATCCCAGTCTTCATCGCGTTGTGAGTGCCCTTGATCTTTGCAATGTTGACGAAGCCAGCGGCACAGCCTACGATAGCACCGCCGGGGAAGTGCAACTGTGGGACAGATTGAAGTCCGCCTTCGTTGAGAGTACGAGCACCGTATGCTATGCGAGTACTGTCGCCACCCAGCAACTTGGCGAAATATGGATGGTGCTTCATGCGCTGTAAAGTAGTTAGACGGTGAGCATCAAACAATTGGTAACCCAACGGACCTGAAGTTCCCGATACGGACTCAAGTACGGGTTTGCGTAGTCGAGCCCGATTACGAGACCAAGGCTCACAAGGCCATCGGCCATATGGTATACCCAGCCTCCGCCGTATGTGTGATTATCCAGCGGCCAACCCATCGTGTGCACAACCTCTCCAGCCCGGTATTGACTGGGGTCAACGCGCCACACCTCCTTGACGCCGAACCCGTAGGTTTGCGGGTCTGCTTCAGCAGCCTCGCGCAAGCGGAAGCGCCTCTGCGCGATCTTCGAGAGCGAGCCTCGCGCGCCTTCTGCGATGAGCGTGACCTTCGCACGGAACTCCATACCCGGCTCAAACGAGTCCTTCGGCCGACCTCGTTTGTCCAGACCAACGTCATTTGTGCGCACACCGGCGACAGCCTTCCCATCTTCCGTGTAGACGAGTGACGCGCCCGCAAAACCAGGGTAAATCTCGACACCAAGTTCTTCGGCGATGCCGCCGAGCCAGGCGGTGAATTGTGACAGAGACACAATGTAGTTCCCGTTATTATTCATTTGTGGTGGATGCGGTAATGGGTAGCTGCCGTTCTTCGTAAACAAGCGCATGGAAGACGACGTGGCCGGTTGGTTTAATGGATGTCCTTCGCGAGATTGCCAGTCTGGCAGGAGCTCATTCAACGCTCGGGGCTCGATGACTGCTCCGGAAAGTATATGCGAGCCTGAAATCAAACGAACATAAGCCGTAGGTCATCTCGAAGCGCAAATCAAGCCGAAGCAGCTATAACACGACGTGGTCATTGAGATCCGATTCGTGTACAGACTATAGCAGACATGGAATGTTCAACTCACCAACTTCCCCTCCCTTTTCCAGGACTACCACCCGGATTTCCTTCCCTTTCTCTTGTTCCAACTGCTTCAAGCGAATGGCGGCGGATAGGCCAGCCGGACCACCTCCTACGATGCATACATCCACCTCATCGGTAGCGCGTTCAACCGAGTCGAGATCGAAGGCTTCGTTCCTACGCAGCAGTGAGACGTGAAATGTGCGCTTGGGTACGCGTAGTATACGCGTGCCAGGTCGGGCGGCACGCGACAACATGGAGAAGGTGGTGGTAAGAGCGCAAGCAGGGATTGCGGGGTCGGAACTCAGCTGGCCACAAGTATTTCACGAGCCAATTGAAGCAGCTGCCAATCACAGCGTACGGAGAAATAATGAGATGACGTATCATTGATTCGGCCCGGAGCCCGAAAGCTCAATGCGTTCGACTCGGTCTCGCGCGGTTCAAGAGCTGCAGCGCACCACCATGTCCGTGAGATACGCACGGCTCCTGGCGGAGTGCATACCTGTCCGTCCTTGCCCGAATATGTTTGTCAGAGACTCACACTAGCTCAGAATCATGACTACTTCACGGACATTCTCACCGCCTTGCTCAGTGTCGGCCTCATAATATCATATTTGCCCCAGGTGCCACCACCCCCAAGCTTGCGTATTGTCGATGACCCTGGCTGACGAGCGTATATAGCACTACCGTATTATCAGCAAGAACTCATCTGAGGGGTTCAGCCCTCTATTTCTGTTGCTTGGTGCGACTGGGTCTGCATCGGGCATGCTCAACATGTACGTGCCGCGCGTGGCTTGGCCGGCGCCTATTCTGACGTACTTTCAGGATTGTCATGCAATGGGGTGTTCTGAAGTGCTGCGACGTATATGTACGTGGTCATGAGCCGGGCGCGAGTTGAATGGGCTGCTCATTCCGTGTAGAGCGCAGCCGACTGTCTCGAGACCGTTGGAGGGGTCATCCAAGTTGGTTTGCAGTGGGCGTTGTTCAATATAACGTGGGACTCCCTTGTATTCTCCTGAACTATTACCTGACGATTCTGTCTAGACAAATCCTATACATATTATATTTCCCCGTTCACTTGAAGTATGTGACCGCGCGTACGTCTGATGGAGCGCCCGTCAGGACCAAAGCGAAGACATCGTCATGGTCATTGTCCATCACGTTATCCTGGGTCGTGCTTCTTCATGTGTACGTTTCAAAACTCGAACTCAATATGCACCCCGCTCATGCTCTTTCTAGACTGCTCGAGACCTTCGCGACCGCGATACTACTGTCCGGTTCTCCTCATTCACCAGATAGTTCAGTGCGCTCGGAACAATTAGAGCTATGGGCGACATTCCTGGGTATATCATCCGGAGTCCTGGTAGTGTTCCAGTATGCGCCACAGATCTGGCACACATACAAGATGCGCCTTGTCGGCGCTCTGAGCATCCCAATGATGCTCATGCAGACGCCCGGCGGATTTGCCATGGCACTTAGTATCATCCTTCGCCCGGGAACGAACTGGACATGTGCGTGTACTTACTTGATTAGTCATTCCAAGGCTGACGTTCTCCTAGCGTGGCTGCAGTTTGTTGTCGCAGCGGGCATGCAGGCTATTCTTCTCACCCTCTGCATATGCTGGAAAGTGCGGCAAAATCGCCTGCATATCGACGACTTCGGTCGACCATTGCCGCCCGATGTCATGGTGACCGCGGCGTCTCCTGCGCCAGACGAGCCTGCCAGCGTACAAGCACGTATTGAAGCCGCTATGGACGAACGCGCTCCTCTCCTTGGCCCTGAAGGTGTTCGCGTCCACCCGGCTAAGCCGATTGATCCGGAGGGGAAGAAGCGGAAGTGGTGGTGGTTTGGCTGAAGGTTTAGATGATCACTATCTGATTTTCGGTTCTTGGATATTCTATATTACTTCGGGCAGTTGATATCGTATCCACTTAATAAGTCTTCAACCTACTATCTACGATACAGTGGGGTGACATCAGACGCCAGCTAGCTGCTGACGTCTGCGACAAACCGTGACATAACGCGTCGGCGCATTGCGCTCCGAAGTTGATCTCCGACCGTCATGTCACCCAGTACAAAACTGGTTATTGGCTACCACGTTCCGTACATTAGCGCTTATCGAGGCATCACCACGATCTCGTATAGTTTCGCATGAAATGCTTAAAGGCCAACGGTCTCTATATGGTAAACAACTATAGTACAGTTTTTTGGTTGTATTCGAGGAAATAAACATCAGAAGAAAGCTACAGCGATAGCAGCGTGATCTATGTGCTCCCAGACCTCCCACGACGCAAGCTGCTTACTCACGAATATGCGCTTGATCGGCGCATCGCATCTCGCGCGCGTAGATAGTACATCAAATAGCGCTACATCCAGCGACTCAGGGATGATCTGATCGTCCTTGCTGCCATGGAGCGTTGCGTCACCGTGGAAGATGAGCGTGTCGAGACGAGGGAATAGCGCCAGAGAGGGCGCATCGTGAGCTCGTTGTGCGGTTCGAGCGAGCGCGACGAGAAGCTCGTAGGATGTAGGGTATGTGAACGACAAGCGCCGTACGTCCTGTGCAGTGGAGAAGGATGATATCCAGTCATCGGGGTCGTGATACCACGGGAGGACATCTGCGGGGAGGAAGATGGCGCGTAATGAGGGAAGAGGGAGTTGGTTGGCGAAATTGACGACATAGGTGTCAGCGTCGTGTATATGCCTGCTTCCACGAAGCGTATCGACGTCCCAGTATTGATCCGTCGTGGGGCTGTAGAATGGATCGGGATTAGAGCGCCCGGTCCAATAGTCTCCCTCGATCTCGCTGTATCGCACACTGACGGTGTGCTTGGAGAGCGTCATCTCGAGAGGCAGTTCAGCATCTGCACCCATAAAAGTGATAGGCGCGAGGTAGTCTCCCTTGAACTTTGCTCTGCCGAGCGAAAGGTCGACTTGCACGATGGCGGTTCGCGGCACGCGGAAGTTTCTCCAGAAGTACCCATAGTGTTGTTCGTAGGTCCAGGAACAGTTGCAGATGACAGTGAGGCTGCGTAGCTGCGTGATGGTGAATGGTCCGCCGGGAAGTGGCACCATATTGGCCGTCGCGGTGTAGAGTGGTTCAGGGAAGAAGTTTTCGAGGATGAGGTGTTGGAGATGAGGTAGTGCGACAAGTGCGTCTCTAAAGCGACGCGCATCTGGGCGGTACCTCGGGTCTGTTGACCCGTCTACACCATCTATCGCCAGGGAAAGCCGGGTAAGGTTGTCGGGGAGCGCCATCAGCATCCCCCAGCACGGGAAACAACCACGGAGGGACAGCCGATCCAGAGCCGGGAAGTACCCTGCGACAGCCATGTTGACCTCGGGTTCGAAAAGGCACCAGTCACCGCCGCAGTCGGTGATATCGAGGTCCACGGCAAGCTCCTTCAAGCTGTATTCGGCCGGAGGAAGGCAATGTATCACGCGCGACGTCTCGTCTATGTCCCTCGAAGTGACGAAAACTGACTTGCAGCGCTTCACGATGGGTTCGCAAAGCCATCGCTCGACAGGGAAATTGCCTTGCTTGAACGCGGTTGTATCCACATAGAGCTCCAGCGGAAGGTCCCTTGCGCGACGAATGACCTCTGGCAGCATCCTCGAGGGCAAGTGCGGACACGATATCTTCGGCCATAATGCGGGTGTGCGCAGAGCTGTCTGAGCGCAAAGTTAGGACAGCAGATAACCATCGTAGGTGTAATCACGCACTTGTCTCCACATGCTGCATACATGACTGACGTTGATCCAGCCCAGGTCGAAGCGTGATGTGCCGTTCTCAACTATATGACGAGGCTGCCAGCCACCATCCTGCGCGAGAGTGAAGATCGTGGAGAGGACCTCCGCCGGTAACGCGGCAGCACCTGAGACGGCATTCCGGCACCGAAAGGCGACACTCAAGTACTTTTTGAGCATCCTGAGCTCCTGCTCTATCATGCGCGACTGAACAGAGGGTCCGACGGTCAGTTTTGGTGTCGCGAGGGCCGCGAAGCGCGATTTGATGAACGCGGCCCATGCCTCTCTGACCTCAAATATTAGTAACAGCAGGATAACAGCCACACAGTACAGTCACCGGTTAGCTTACTCGGACGTGCGAGAGTATGCTGCTTCATCCCATGAGATGGAGTTGAGGACAGCCATGATGGTGGAATCAAGGATCAAGGTTGTCTCCGACGCGACGCGAGTCGCGAAATGTACGGGCTGTTGGGATCCGGATCGGTAAGTCGGGGAAACAGGATTGAGCGTTGGATCACTACCCAACCATGAATCCCTCCGACCGTATATATTTGCGCGCGAAGCACAGAACGTCGACGAAAAGCAAGGAATATCCAAGAAGCGTCTGTGATCACAGACAGCGTTCGGATCATTGTTCCGATGCCACAGCTCAGTGACATCATCCGGAAATCAACTTCGCCCGAGCGCAACCCGAGCGGCGAGTGACCACGATACTACTTGCATCCAGGCCGCCACCATGTCCGCTAGCGACATCATTCAAGATGGCACCCCGTTTTCCCGCACGTCTGAGTGAGCTACCTTGACTTTTGCGCCGATCAAGCAGGTTCTTGTGAGCAAAGGGGCTTTGTCGTGAGAGGTGAG